TATCAAAAAGAGACGTATAACTCGTCATTTTTGAAAAAAAAATCAATTATTTTATTAATATTTATTATTTTTGTGCGACAAATTTCTCAATATAATTTATATCATTTTATTAGGAAATTTTATATGTGGTATGATGTCAGATTTTATATGTGGTATGATGACAAATTTCTCAATATAATTCAAATTCAAAATTTTGAACCCATCTAATACCCCGTTTGATTCTCATTTTTTTAAGAATGGGAATGAAAATTATAACCGTTACGGGACCCTCACAAAAAATAAAAAATCAAATATGATGACTTAATACGATGGATTACGATCTTATTTTTTTTATTTTTGAGGCCAAAGAATGAGAATCAAATGAGGGCTAAAACAATTGCCACTATTTTTTGAGTAATAATATTTAGCACCACTTATATTTAGTGCATGTTTGTCATCTTTCATAATTTTAAATTATTTGCTACAATATCTACATATTCATAGAATAAAATATTCTACATACAAACCAATAAATTTTCTTTACTTTTTAATTACATTTTTCAAAAAATACTGTTCAAAACTCTTTATTTTTCAAATAATATGTGACAAACAATGCTTAACTCTACCTAAAGTGATATTAAATTATAGATTCAATTAAATAAATCACATAATTTCACTTTTAATTGAATATATTACATAATACCACATAAATTGATGCTTTAGTATCATGGTGTTAGATAGTATTATTCTTATTTTTATAGGCAAATTAAAGATACGTCTTTCGAGCTTTCTAAAAAATTTAGAGACGTCTCGACTAATTTTAAAAATTATTCAAGCAATAACGCATGCAATTTTTGAGGTTCGTGATAATTTCATAGACATCCCATCCATTTTTAAAAAATTACACAAACTTTCATTTTTCATATTCTGAATAGTTCACACCCCCTTGATCATTTTTATTTTAATATTAGTTAAGTGCCTTATTGATAATATTAACTTATTTTATAGTTTATCATAAAATTATTTTCAACCACACAATCATGCAATAAAATATTCTATACGTATACAAAAAAAAACTTTTTATACTTTTTAGCCAAACATTCTCTTGAAAATCACTATTCAAAACTCTTTTTCTACAATAATGATTGTCAAACAAGTTTTAAATAATATTTGTAATATTTAAAATATCATTACAAACTTTCTTTCATCTCATGGCTCCTTTATCAATAGTGTAATGTCTGGAATATCATTTTAATACTTCTAATCAACGGAAAATTGTTGTTTAGTCCATCAAGTCATAAAAAAGACTTCAACATTTAACTGTTTTGAATAATTATATTGGAAACACAAGATGGGTGGGTTTCATCTTAAGCCCCCGTCTGGCCCCCATTTTCAGGGTGGAATAGTATTTTTTTGAAAAATGAGTGGTTGAAAAAGAATGAAATTTTTTTGATTTACGTGTAATATTATTTTATAAAAGATTGTGTGGTTGAAAATAGGAGAGAGAAAAATAGAAGATAATGTAATGAAATTTAATAGGGGTCAAGCCCCCGTTTGACACGGGGTAGTACTCAAAAATTTGATAGTTGTGAGTGAAGTCCTTTCTCCTATGAAAGTGATAAATAATATTATTATATTTGGTTTCACTTTAATAGAGAGTTGACAAGAAATGAACTTGTCGAATGATCGATCAAGTGGAGTTCAAATGAATACTAAACATACCTTACTTTTTGAGTATTTTGTTTTATTTTAGCGAGAATGAAATGTACATTATTTTGTTAATATTAGGATGCTATTCTAATTGTGCTCATTACTTTATATATGTAGATTTATTTTAAATATATCAGAATCTTCTTTAAGAGTGATTAAAATTTTTGAAATATATTATGCTTTTAACTTTTTAACTTTGAAGACAAACATCATCGAGTAGGTTAGAATATTAAAAAAAATGGAAAAATACTCCACCCCACTGTCCCCACTCCCAACGCCCAAATTGCAACATGGAATGGGTAGGTTTACGTTTGGCAGTTTAGTTAAAACAAATTAGGAAGGAGGCTTCACGTTGTCACTTGTAAGCTCATTCATCCCTTGAATGAAATCAACCAAAAAAATAATTAATATACAAAGGTATTAATAATTAATTGAGCTATGAATATCAATGTTTTAAAAATAGACCCGCCCATCAACCCGAAAAAGGAGAAAGGATCAAAGGTTGAATTGGAGTCGAACTGATGATTTTTAAGGTCTCGTTTGGAAGTGAATTTTCACTCCAAAAAATTAATTTTTTGATCGTTATTTCATTAATCCAGTCGTTAATTTTGTATTTCTTCTCTTACGGTAGCTCCCACTTTTCTCCTAACGATCAAAAAATTAATTCTCAAAATCACTACCAAACAAGCCCTAAAAAACTAGAAATATACATATACAAAAATTGAAAAATATACATTTAAATATGAAAAGAAATATACATTTAGGTCCCATTTGATAGTGCTTTTTCACTCCAAAAAAATTGATTTTTTGACCATTACTTCATTATTTCAACCATTATCTTTGACTTCTTCATTTACATGTCATCCTCACTTTTCTCCTAACGGCAAAAAATCAATTCTCAAAAAATCACTACCAAACGGATCCTTACATAAATCGATTAAAACGGGAATTGGTCACGAGTTTTTTGAAAATCGACCAATTTAACAGGTTTTGGTGTGAGTTTTTAATTCGAAGTTTAATAAGTTTAATCGAATCGATTTTGATCTCAGGCGATCTCCAACCCTGCACCAAATTTTGCACCATTTTATACCAAATTTTGCACCAAATCTTGCACCAAACTAAAATTCATCTTCAACCATTACACCAAAAATTACACCAAATGAACAGTATTTAACCATTTTCTTCCCCTTTTTTTATTATTTATAATTTACTTATTTGAAATATAATTTATTTAATTATTTCATAAATACATAAATTACTAAATAAATAATTACGTTAAATTACGAAAAATATTAAATTCATTAATAAATATAAAAAACATAGAACAATTAATAAAAATACTACAACAACGAAAATATGAAATCATGCCATCAGAAAATAGTACAGTGTATTTCGAATTTGGATAGATAATATTACGAAGTCGCTAAATTTTTGCAATTTAATTCTCAGAATTCATATTTTCATTCCACAAATGATCGATTAATGCATTTTGAAGTGCAATGTAAGTTTTTTTTATCCTTGATTTGTCTATGACAAGCAAGGAATTCCTGAAAATGTCGATTTTCATCTTCAATCAACTCAACTTCTGGACTTGACACTTCCGTCTATTCTGGAACTGGTGCATTAACATTAAATTATTTTAATGATTTTGGAGGATTTGAAAGTGATCTTCCAGATTATTGAACTATGCACTTTTTATATATCTTTTTTTCAAAAATAAAATTAGATTATCGTATGTATATTGCTATTTAATAAATAATCGTGTTTGATGTATTTTAAATTTTTTTCGTCTTTTAATTAATTTATTAATTATTATGTCTTATATTTAATTTTTTTAAATACAAATAATATTAATATTAATAATTTATTGTATTAAAAAATATATAGCACAAATGACATAAATACTCTCAACAAATTTATTTGAAAAATGTTAAATAAGGGCAAAAATGACATTTTACACTTGTACCATTTTGGTCCAAAATTGTGCAAAATTTAGTGTTGAATTGGAACAATTTTACATCAAAAAATAGTGTAAAATGGTGCAATGGTGCCATGATTGGAGATGCCCTCAGTGTTCCATTTTTCCGATCGAATACCAATTATACACTTAAAAACAAAATCTTCGTTAGGCTGCCCCCCACCCTCTCAAGCATTACGCAATACACCCCCTAAGTTAAGGCTAATCCTGCACCCCAACCAAAAACCAAGTCCTCACATGAGAATCGAATGACTGGTGTCAACTGTCAATATGGACCCCATCCCACCCTACCCTACCCCACACATCGCCCTCCTACAGCGCTCTACACCCGATACCCATTCCCCACCCCACACCCACTATTTTTTTCAAATATCTTACCTGGCTACAACTCTACATACACACAAACTACATTCCCACGCTTTTCTGCTAGGAAAATTTCACTATTGGTCCACGAACTATCGAATCAGTAAAAGTCAGTCTAAACCTTCCAAAAATAAGCAAGCTGACCCTAAATTTTTTTATAGTTGCACGTCCAATACTCAATAATAAAAACCTTCCAAAATTTTACTAAGCTTCTCTACATGGTTAAGATAAAAACTAGATTTTTAATAAATTTTGATAGATGTTGATAAAATGTTGTGATTAAAATTAATTATTAATTTTGACTTGAATTTTAATTCAAAATTTTAGCAGAACGGCATAACCAAACATGAGCGAGCTCAATCACAATTGTTACACTTTTTGTTTCACGAAGACAAGTCAAATATTTTTGGGGAAGTTTATGTTTCAACAAGACCACGGTAATTATTGAAGGGTTGGACAACTTTGTAGTAAATACAAGTAGTGCAAGGATTTTGAAAGGTCTGAAGATTAACTTGCTCTCGACACAATAGGTTGGGGGTTGGGATTTGGGACCACTGGTACAGTTACTTACCCATTTTCAAAATGTGCGTGGACTCACGCTCCTTTGTCGCGCGTGGGACAGTACGTGTCTAGGGTTTCATATCCGCCTCCCTCACGAAGACAAGTCAAATATTTTTGGGGAAGTTTATGTTTCAACAAGACCACGGTAATTATTGAAGGGTTGGACAACTTTGTAATAAATACAAGTAGTGCAAGGATTTTGAAAGGTCTGAAGATTAACTTGCTCTCGACACAATAGGTTGGGGGTTGGGATTTGGGACCACTGGTACAGTTACTTACCCATTTTCAAAATGTGCGTGGATCACGCTCCTTTGTCGCGCGTGGGACAGTACATGTCTAGGGTTTCATATCCGCCTCCGCTTCCACATACTATTTCTGCAGAATTTAAACATTATAAAAGGACGACCCAGGCACGGCTTTTCTCTCTCCACAAACCCCTCACTTTGTGCTGCTCCAACACTCTTCACTTCCTTGATCTTTTTATCACTTTTTTCGAATTTTTGCTGGGCCCCTCTGATTTTTCCCAGTGGGAAACCCAGCAAGCACAATTACTGGAGGGGCTATAATTAAACCTTAAAGAACCAGCAACCCATAATCCCCTTCAAATAAGGAATCCCAGTCTTCTGTCTTTCAGATTATTGAGTGCTAAAGGCATAAAAACTACAAATTATAGAGAGGTTGCTTGCTGTTTTGTCCAAGGAGGTTGTGTTGAGAGATATGGCTGAGGAATTATATGATGGAAAGTTCTGGCTGCCGCCTCAGTTTCTAACTGATGACGACCTGTTGATGGACTTCAAGAACAAAAGAAATGATAATTTTTCTTTTGGGTTCAATGGAAACTCGTTTGGACCCAACTCGGATTTGAGTTCACCTGTTGAGTCTGTTACAGGTTCAACTGAAACTGAAAGTGATGAGGATGACTACCTATCCGAAGTAGCTCGGAAGCTCTTGCAGTCTACTCTCCAAGACTCCAAAATCACCTTGGATAATCGGAAGGTAAATATGCTCTATCACCGTCTCTGTTTTAGTTATTTAATTATTTGAACTTCATTCTAATGTTTAAATTTTGGATTGCAGGAACGGGTGCTGTCTCGGTCGCCCCAATCAACCCTATGCGGTGCTATGGGTGCGCATGGCAGCAACTTTGGGTCCAGCGGCGCCAGCCCAAACTGCGTTTCTATGGTTTCTTCACCGCCAGGAGTGAATAGAAAGGGCGCTGCCGATTGGGATGCGTTATATGAGGCTGCAGGGGAGCTGGCTAGGATGAGAATTATTGAAGAAACGAATGGATTTTACTCCGGTAACAGATGTGCTGGAGAAGTTTTTCGTGCCCCGAAAAAGCTCAATCCGATATCTTTACCTCTCGAGAACCCACAACGTGGCTCTGGGTTTTACCCAAATCAAGAACCCCAACTTTCTTACCGGCAATTACAAGCTACTCAGGTGTGCCTTTTTTTCTCTACAGAAAACCATTTGTTGTTTTACTGGGACTAACTTGTAGTGTATGAACTGAGAATTTATCAATTTTGCTTGTGCAGTTCCAGCAATTAAAGATGCAACTGATGATGAAACAACAACAGGGGAGTGGAGTTTGGGGACAGGGCAAGGGTGGGTACCCGCAGATGGTTCCTAATGTTAGAAGGAATGGAGGGGAGAGAACTCTGCCTCGGGACTTTTCAATGGCAACTTGGCCTACTTTACAACAGTCTCAAAGGCAACCTGGTGCTGGCATGAGAGCCATGTTTCTTGGAGACACCGGGGCTAAAAAAGAACGTGCTGGCACTGGAGTTTTCTTGCCCAGAAGATTCGGAACCCCGACTGAAACTCGCAAGAAGCCAGGTCGAATGTTCACGAGAAATTGATACTTAATTACATACATATTATTTAAGCACGGGAAATTTAAGTTAGTTAACGCGCTAATCAAGTCTTCTCGGATAAGTCGCCCAAGTTCCACTGTTACACATTTGTCAAAACTTTTCTACCGGTCGTAATTTAATGAAATGAAAACCAGATTGCACGAGAGGGAGCTCGTCTTTAATGATATTGAATGCAATTACAGTGTGCGGGTGGCTAGTTTTTTAGGATAGTTTCATTTGGCTGCTGGTCACATGGGATGTTTGTTTGCTAATGGAGTAAATGGTTCTATAATTTAATGACCCTTTTGACTAATATCTGATTTTTCTGGCTTTGTCTTATTTTATTAAGTGTTGTTCTACTGCATATGAGTATTAATTCTTGCTGATGTTTGTTCATATTTTTTTTAATACAGGTTGTTCAACGGTTTTACTACCAGACAGAGTGGTCCAGGCCTTAAATTTGCATTTGGATAACGTAGATCCCCAGCCACAGGTTCACTCCAGGGGCAGTGCAAATTGCAATCCAGACTATGGTAACTGGATTTATTGCCTGATATTTTTAGATATTTTCTAGAGTTTGTGTTCATGTAAGTGTCTTATTTGGGGTTCTTCATTTATATGCAGCAGCAGCAGCAGATGGTTTAAAGGGTAGAAACAATGTCGCGACGGGCCAACTGATGCGTACCGTGAGACTACAGCCGGCGATGAATCAAGAACTCCGTCTCCCCCAGGAGTGGACTTACTGATCAGAGTCCCGTCCGAAATTGTTTAGCCAAAACTGTGTCGTAGAAGGAAAAAATCAAAGCTCTGATAGTAGAAAAACAAATCCAAGAATAAGGTTTTTACTAGTTTCAGCAGTACTAGATAGTAATTATAGATAGCAGCCTAAGAAAATGTGTTATTTTTTTGGATTAGTATTAGGTTAAACAAAACAAAATAAAATATCAGTCAAGATTGAAGAAAGCAGCATATTTTGTTGGGCTCAAGGTACAAGAAACTTATGGGTGGCGGTTTCTATTTTGTTCCTGTTGGAAAATGGAATGATAAATAAGAAGGTTTGTATTGTAGGAGCTGTTAATATGCCTAGAAAGGGCATATCAGGAAGGGGTTGGAGTCTCGTTTTGGATGAAAAGCAGCCCATTTTTTATCTGTTAGTGTTGATGCATTACAGTCAGTTTGTATCGGTCGATTCAAAATAATAATAATTAATATGATTATTATTAATTATTTTGTTTATTAATCTTTCATTGTCAAGTCCAATGTTTTTATATGGTCAAAACATGGGTAGAATCAAAGGGTACTTTGCACATTTTCAGTTGCACCTTCTTTCACATGCTTTGGTACTCCGGCTTTTGACCATCGTCGTCTTGTCTTGTCGATTAACCTCCTTTCTTGTTTTTTCTGCATAAATTCTTCTTACATTAGCTTAGCTAGGTTTTGTTGTCCCAAAAAAAGAATAAAAAGAGAAAAAGCTCAAATGGGTTTCCTATATGAGCCGAACTGGGGGTGTATCACAGACTTCTTTCAGAAGTCTCACACCATGTGGGATGGTGGGGTTCGAATTTTTTTTTTATCATTTTTTATTACATTGGACTCTACAGTGGGGTCGACCTTGTGTGAGGGATCTGGTTTTATTCTGTAAAATGAATTTTGTACAATCGGAATTACTCTTCTTATATAGTATTTGTATACTCCATCCATCCGTACCAATATATAAGGGGTGTTTGATAGACATTTTTCTGTAAAAATGTATTTTAGAATAATAAATTAATGTGAAATGTGTGGTTGAAAAATAAGGGTCAGTTTTTGATTTACGTGTAATATTATTTTAAAAAAGAATGTATTGTTGAAAAGAAGAGAGAAAAATACATTTGAAAGAAAATGACTATCAAACGGGCTCATAGATTGAGTGTTCTTTATCTCGTCTCAACATATATAAGCCTGTTTCTTAATTTTTTTTTTTGTTTTGTTCATTTATCAATATCATTTATTCAATTTTCCTCACTTAATATGTCAACTCCTTGAAATCATTCAAATGTACACATTTTCCACTTTTTGGAAATATGGAAAGAATCTCATTTCTTCTTCAAATTAAATTATTTAAATTCTTTACTAATTTTAACAATAATTTAATACTATATACTAAAAATTAAATGGGGGTAAGCTAAAAAAAAATCTTGGCAAAAATTAAATTTTCAGATGATGTTAAAGAATATTTCTTAATCCATGTGAAAAATAAAATAAGCTTATATAATTGGGAGGGGAGAGTAAAAAAGAAAAAGCTCAACTGGGTTTCCTATTATAGTATTTGTATATTTATTTTCATCAAAATTTAAAAGCGCAAAACGTCTGGTTCGTAGCTAAAACTAATTGATAAATATGTATATAAAATATGTTGATAATAAATGGATAATAGTTGTGAATGTGATAATAAGTGAGTAAAAGCCGTCAACGTGATTAAACTTTATAATTTTATTTTATTTATTTTTTATTAATTTAGGAGTTGAGTAATGGTGAAGAATGGGTTGCAGTTTGCTGGATATATATGCCATACACGTCTATTATTGTACGCAAGAAACTTTTCCTACTCAAATCTTCTCTCTTTTCTGTCTTTTCGTAGTGGCCACGCTGTATTGTAGGGAAAATCTTTTCTGAATCTAGAAAAGGTACAATCCTACGAAGCTGGTCTGGTCCTTTTACCATGAGAGGTATGGGCATCGACATGCTTACATAGTTTGAGTCACTGATTTGTCGACTGTGGGTGCTCTTGCCGGGGCAAGGGTCATTATAGTCTGGAAAATGTTGGATCTACAGGGTTCTATTTATCAAAACTCACAGGTCTCACACGGGACCAACTTGTATTTAAAAATAAAATAAAATCAACACACTTCGGTGTATGTGAGTATTCGGTACGAGTTGACATGTATCACAATCCTTATAGAGTCTGTTTAGGAGTTATTTTGAAAATTGAATTTTTGATCGTTAGGAAAAAAGTGGGATCCACTGTAAGAGAAGAAGTCAAATATGGTGGCTGAAATAGTGAAATAACGATCAAAAAATCAATTTTTTTGGGGTAAAAAATACTCCAAACAGGCTTATAGTCTTTAGTTGTTTTTTATTTTTTAAAATCAAATATGTTTTTGATTATTTTAAATTTTTGAACATTCTTACCTTGAAAATTTGTTAAGGCTTTAAGTTCTCATGGTAGGACCAATCATGCTTGGACCAATCTACTCATTTTGAGTCTTTTGACATATCTGAATCACTTTATTTGAAAACTTCACTTATTAGAGAGGAAATAAATTAATTTATTAAAATTTGATCTTTAACAAAATAAAAGTTTGAAAATTAGAATGTATTGATGCCATAACTTTCAAACCTGACCTGGAGAGGGATGGCCCGACCACTCGTGTCCCTACAACTTTGATCTCAATTCCATCCCAGGGTCATTCATGAACATCGAGTACCCCGATCCCCTTTAAATTGATTACCTGGTCACTTAGCTACAGCACAGTATCCTCACTCCCTCTTAGGACTCGATCTCGAGTCTTAATCTCCCCAAAATAAAGTTCTAAGACTATTAGGAGTCCAAGCTTATCCAATCATTCCAATATTATACACGTTTCCTATTTCTTATGAGATTACAACCCCCCCCTTGGTAATCAACCTGTTTTCATTCTCTATTTTCAAACTGAATAAATATCCTTTTTTGGTTAACAACCTAAAATATTAACAAGACGTTAAATTAAAACCCGAGGGTTTACCCAATGCGCACCCAAAAAGTAGCGGCTGAGGATTCCCCCGAAAAAAGAAAAAGAAAAAAGAAGACATTGAATTAAACTAAATGAAAATATTAAAGTTTCTTTTCTTTTCATATTATTATTAAGAGTTTGTTCGTATATGATAATATAAGGGTAACGTAAATTATAAATAGACATCATGGGATACAGCTTGATACAGAAATTTCCAACATGATATGGTAAAATTTGTATCAACTAACGTATAAAGTAGTAGATATATTTGGTGAGTTTGCCATATGTAAGAGATCTATGTAGACAATGAACAATTTCTTCATTGTTTCCATCGAAATTTTGACAAATTTTATGTATAATTATTTGTCGAATTCGCCACATCTAGCGTCCATTTGGCAATTTAAGAGTCGTCCGAATATCAACTTTTGTGGCATTTAATAAAATAAAAATCCACAATTAAATAATATACATTAAGCTTCTCAAATTCAACGGTTGCTCACCAACTAAAAAATCTGACTTTTAACTTTTTATGGATATTACGACATGGTGGCTAGTAGAATAAATAAATAATGGGAATTCAGAAAATGATTGTGTTTAGAGTTGGCTAAGTCAAAATATCAAAACAAATTTTATAGAATTTTGGGCACTTTTGCTTAATATGAGAATAATACTAACAAAGAAAGCAATATTCGATGGTACTAAGTAGACAAAAATGGAAACGTATCATATTGTCTTTTAATGATTTGGTTTATATAGTTGAGAAATTATGCCGAATTTTGACATTTGGAAGACTATTTATAAAAATTAAAATATTTCTAGAACGTGTCGAAGAGTGAGTATACAAAAATTATGATTAAATATTGTATATTTATATTCAACTTTCTAATAGATATAACGACTTGTTGACATCCAAACTTATTAAAATCAATTTAGTTGTTGATTGCTAACATGGTTTCCTCTCTTTCGAGATAATAAACAAAATAAGCTTTTAAAAAATATGAAGTCTTGTTTATAAATTAGTCATCTAAAAACTTAAACGTGCAATATTTTATTTCTTAAATTAGTTTTGAACACTACTAAAAATATATAATTTTCTTGAGAGATGCTATAAGTACAGGAAAAATCAACAAAAAAGTTAAAAAAAAAATGTACTTTGCGGGTTTTTATTGGAAGACAAAAAGAAAAACAGGCCGACAGGGTGCTTCGAAAGAACCCTGTCCAAATTTTGTCCAAAAAATCTGTACTTACGGCTTAAACCAATTTTCTTAAATAGACGACGGTCAATTTTGATTAGACGTAAGAAATGCAGTAGAATCGATATTTATCAATTCATTGATTATGTTCTAGTTTTGGGTTGATTAATTGTATTTAGTTACATAGAGTGGACCTCAATGTTGTGGGCCTGTCCAGAAGTTTTATGCAGAGAGGATGAGAAAATATATGACAAAATAAGCACTAAAATGACACTTACAGAATATTAACTTTGTTGATCCTTAACTAGATGATGATATTGGGATTATTAGATGACATTCCTACAACGTTGCTAATTATCAAACTATAAGATTTAGGTTAAACTGATAGGATTTACCAATTTTTTGAGGCAAACTATTATTGATTTTTGATAATTAGCAAACTATTTTTTTTTAGGTAAACTATTATAGTCTTGTGGGGGATTGTTGTTACTTAAGTTTTAAATTTCAAAATTAAAAGTAATTTTAATTTTTAATTTACATTTTAATATAAATTTGAAACTCATAATTTAGATTGTACTATACTTAAATATGATTTCTTTTTTAATATAAAAATATGTGCATGTCTCGTTAAGATTTTAAAGGGCGAGTAACCATTTATGTGTGTATATTATTATTTCTTGTGTATTAAATTAAATATTGAAATCTTTATATTGATTTTATGGAAATTCCATGATTTTATTTTAAACAAATGGTTAAAAGATTTAACTTTCAATAATGTGTTTATTTAATATTTTAAAAGAGGTATAATTTCAAAATTAATCTACATAATTTTATTTATAGCCAAGAGTAACCCCGTGATTAATAGTGATTTTATTCTATTGGAATTTGTAACTCATAAAAAGTTTCAACTTTCAAAATTATAGTTTTTATTGTTTAAAATTTCAGTTTCAAGTTTTATTTATTACAAAGCTTAAACAATAGGATGTAGACTATGTATGGATTAATTTTCATTATTATAGAAGATTGTTGTAACTTAAGTTTTAAAATTTCAAAACTTAAAATTGTTTTTGAGAGCGATAAAAAATTGTTTCTAAGAATAATGCAAGAAAATAGTAGAAAAGATTGTATTTCGCAAGGAAGATATTTTGTTGAAGTTCGAAGGATCATGATGTTCAATTTCGTTATTCATGTTGTGGTGTTGGTATTGCTAAAGTTAATCCACTATTTAAAATGTCTAAATTAGATTTGGAGACATTTTGCTTTGAGAGCAAATGTGT